AAATACTTACTACAGGAATGAGACATCAGGAGCAGTGAGGGTTCTGTTAGCACACTTAGACAAGGATCAGATTTGAGTTCAATGGGATTAGTAGAAGAAAAAGAGAAGCAGGAAAAATAAAAACTAGAAGAGTATGAAAATACAACCTGTTCATAATAATAAAAACCTTTATAGAAAATCTGAGACTTGTGAGAAAGCAGGATGGAAGAACATGGATCACAAGGTATATGTAATGTTCTTTCAAAACACTGCAAGGACCATTATAATCCTGTAAACCCACAAGTGGTCAAATTACATTTTCCCATCACAAACATCAAACTCACTTATCTATTTGATGGCAAACAGCCCCTCTGTCCTCCAGACCCATCCTGTGTGTCGATCTGCACTTCACACTGTCGGGCTGTGTCCCCAGCATTGGAAAGGCTTACGTTGTCTGTGGGACACTCTGAATGGCATCATCTCAGTCTCCCTTTCCAAGTGTCTCAATGGAAGTGTCCTCCAGTTAATTCACTTATTCACTATGACACGCTTTTTAGAAAAATTGTACTGAATTTATTTGGTTTCATATGTACTTTTCTATAACACATCATCTGTGCCTGGGTCCAAAGTCAAGTCTCCTTCCCTTCCGCCTTCCACTCCCTCCCCCACCCCTTTCCCTCTTGTAATCGCCATACTGTTCTCTGTGTCGATGCGTTTTTTTTCTTTTTGGTGAATCCCTTCACCTTTTTCATCCAGCCCCACACAACACCCCTCCCGTTGACAGCTGTCAGTCTGTTTCGGATCTATGAGTCTGTATATATTTTGTTCATTAGATTATACATGTAAGTGAAATCATATGGTATTTGTCTCTCCCTGATTGGCTTATTTCACTTAGCATAATACTCTCCAGGTCCATCCATCCGTGCTTTCTCAAAAGGTAAGATTTCCTCCTTTTTTATGGCCAGGAAGTATCCATTGTATAAATACTCTATATATCTAGCCTGTGTTGAAACTGAAAAATGATGTCAGATAAAATGAGAGGAGTTTGGGGCTGTGATGGTTACAGGACGGTCCAGGGGAGGATGCAGGAACAGCCTGTGGGGAAAGCCCTGCTCTCTCTCTTCCCTGGGCTGTTTGTGGGGAGGGCGGCTAGGAGAGAGTGACAGAAAGGGGAGCCCACCTTTTGTTCTCTCTTCCCTGCATCCACAGAAACGAAATGATTCCAGGGACTCTTGGGTTCCTCCAGAGCCAGGACAGGCTGTAGGACCGGCCGGCTGAAGCCAGCGTGGAGGGAAATGTGCTACTGATGAGGTTGCTGAGCTCGGGTCCAAGCCCCTCTCCTCCGCTTCATCCTGCTGTGGCTGGGGCTCTGCCAGCCCCGTGGCTCTGCCTGGCGCTGCACCGCCTGAAACCAGAAGGGTGAAGGGAGCCGCAGGGGTGGCTGGCGCGTCTGGAAGCCCCTGCTTCAGTGCCCCACTCCCTCCTCTAAATGACACTTAATAATCCCAGCCCCGCCCTGCTCTGCTCACCCTCGGGGGCAGCTGGTTCTTGCTTTTGGACCCATCGCATGGCGCACAGAACACTAATGACTAAAACCCTGTTGCACCAAAACATGTATTTTTTGCCAATTTGACCAAAACACAGGTGTATTTTTATTCATTCCCACAGATGGCTATTGTGCTGGCTGTTGGCATTTTTCATTTGACATCTAAGGGAAAAGAGGTCGGTGCCCGGACTAAATAGTTTTAAAATTCCCGCGGCACACCGGTTGGAAATCACTGCCTTTGAGTAACATTTTTACCTTTTAGTTACCTAAGCAATAACTTTCTACCGAATTATATTATATTTTATTATTATATTTTAGTGTGTGGTTTCTACCTTCAGGTCTTTACTTATGTAAACTCACACCAGGAAGGGACCCTGGGGTGGGGGTGGGGGGCTGGAGGGCTCGGTGTGGTGACAGGTGGCAAAGCGACGCTTCCTCCGGGTGGGAATCAGCTGCCGGCCCCACAGCAGGAGCAGCCACTCCGCCGACTGCGGCCTGGGCGGCTCTCACCGTCCACTGGGGCCTTTACAGAAAGAAAATGAGAAGGTCTCCGCTCAGGTCCTAGTCAGACCACCAGGGAACGGCTATCACAGCCTAAACCACCAGCTACTTCTCACCCTCACAGGCCTTATCTTGTTGGAAACAGACACAAACCTCATTGTGCAGATGGCGAAATTATAATGTACCGACCAGAGCAGAGAGCGCTGCCCTCGTCTGTCTGAGCCTCGCTTCTGAGCAGAGAGAGTCCGTCCTCTGGTGTCTGAGGAGACACCTCCCCTCCGGGCACCCGCCTGCCTCGCGGGCGCTGAGCTGCCCAGGGCGCCTTCTCCCGAGACCCGTCCTTCAACCCCGGGCCCTCCGCACCCATAACGGGGACCTGATTTCAAAGTGCCCGGCAGGTCCGGACAGTGACTCGGGATGAAGCAAAGTTTGGATAAAATCCACGGTCAGATCCCTGCGGCCCGGGAGAGGGTGGAGGGGAGGACCGCGCGCTGGGCCGAGCCCAACGCCAGGCTGGGGCTGCACGCGGTGTGTCCTGGAGCGGGAAGTGGCTGCGCAGTGTCCGCGGAGGCGGCGGCTGGGCCTCAGTTCATGGCGCTGAGGTTATTGCGCTGAGTTTATTGCGCTGAGATGCCCGAGCGCCCCGAGCAGGAGGCAGAAGCAGCAGCCAAAGGCTCCCGCCGCCTCCGCCTTTGAGAGCTGGTGCCAGCGGCAGAGGCTTCCAGCAGCGCGGGGCCCGGGGGGAGGGGAGTGGATTGTGGGAGACGGGGAGAGGGTCCACAATACAACACTCGGACCCACAAGAACCGTGGCAGCAGCTACTGAATCAGTCTAGGCTTGAAAGGGCGTCGCTTGTTACAGCAATTAAAAAAGACCAGGTCTTGTAACCAGGAAACTGACTTAGTAGCCAGTTTCTAACAGCAGCTCAGCCCCAGGGCGTTTCCTGCGGGGCTGGCTGTGCCCTTGGCGAGGAGCCAGCACCGCCGGTGCCTGTGGTCCCTGCCACGCCTCCCCCAGAGACGGGTCTGTGCAGAGCGACGGGCAGCACGATGCCTCCCCCTCAGGGTTCATAGAAACTGGCTCTCACATGTGCTAATTCCTGACTCCAACTTCCACGGGGCCCAGAGGCCCGCGGTCCAGGGGACAGGCGATGGCTGGCCCAGCACCCACTCCTGTGGCCCAGGGACCCGAGGGCCCGCGCTGGAGTCACTTCCTCGGGGACAGACATTCTTGGCAACCGGCCAAAAGCCCACATTGCTCTCTGACGCACAGTGAGGTGGGTAGGTTTCCGCAGAGGCCCCTGGAAACGACCAACAGCAATGCCACTCGCGGGAGGACTGCAGGGGCCGGGCCACCACCGCCACCACCGCGGGTCTCACAGACGCACGAGTGGCCAGACCTGTCCCATCTTTGTCCTCTCGCCTGTATGCTGAGTGTGGCGGCTGCCCCAGGGCAACCCCCGCTTTCTAATGGCGGGAGTGGGTAGGAGACTCGTGAGCTCTGAGGCCAGAGAGAGTCCAGACAGCCCAGAGCTCTTCAGTTCTGCTCAGGTGACACGCAGCAGCCAGCGGGCACCTGAAGGCGGGCACCTACAGGGGGCACCTCAGGGCAGGCACCTGCGGGCGCCCCAGGAGCAGGCAGCACACGGACGTCATAGCATCTGTTCTGCACTGTTGGGGTCCAGCCCCAGCAGGTCCAGGGGTTCCCAAAGGTGTGGACGGAGTTGGCAAAGAAGGAATGACATGGAGACAGTGTTCAGTTGATCAGCATAGCGAGGTTCTCTAGCCAGGTTCTCTGTTTTTATTGTCTTGTTACATCTGTATTTATACCAGTTGATTTTAATCCTATCCATTCTATTCCAAAGGTTAGGGCATTTGTTAATCTAGTTCTGTTAAGTTTAATCCTGTCTAGGTTAATCTCTGTGTTCCATTATAAGGGCTATTCCAAGGTCACTGCTCTATTGATAAGCTACAAGGAAGTGACTGAAGGAGATTATCCTACCCAGTAAAGGTTATGTCCTCCCAGCCTTGCTGCTTGCCTTCCCTGGGACTGCCCTGTGTCGGTGAGTCTCCAGGGGTATAGGCTTTGGTGCTTTCCCTGGTGGGCAGACCCCTGGGGATGTGGGCCCAACAAGTCCAAAATTTATTGAAAAATCCTCACCTGGGGAAACAACCTTTCTTAGGGAGGTGGTCCTGTTTAAAACACATAGCGCTAAGAGGGGGGGGGGAGCAAACATATGCCATATATGCCAGGTCCCTTGAAACATAAGCTGTGCAGCTGTTTCTTCCCTGCAGCGACTGTGTCAAGCAGCAAGGGTGGACCAGTTTCCAGCAATGCACCAGCCACTGTGCGGGAGACACGTCAGGGCCCCAGGGTGCATGAGGCCTGGAGGGGCTCGAGGAGCTCCCGTTCTTAACACAAAGGCACAGCTCCGGGGGGCAGGTGCCAGGGGAGCTTCCTGAGGGCAGAGCCCATGCCTGCCCCCCCCCCCCCCCCCACACACACACCCATGGCGGGCACTCAGCTCTGACAGGGCAGCCAGCACCAGGCCCTCAGAGCCAGCGGGCAGACTCCTAGGCTCAGGGGGAGGCCGCATCCACGCTGGTTGGAGGCGCAGAACTCGGACAGTTGAGAGTTGGGCAGAATATTTTGCCTGAGAAGTTCCCTCTTTGGTGCGAGGTGAACTACGGCACACTGGGCTCCCCAGCCCCCAGCACCAGTGGGGGAAAGGGGGTCCCCACAACATTTGCCTGTTCAAAGCCAAGGGTTCCGTGGGGGTGCCATGGAGGGCTGCATCTACATTTCTGAGTGGTAGATCATCTCCTAGTGCCATGGTCGGCAAACTGAGGCTCGCGAGCCACATGCAGCTCTTTGGCCCCTTGAGTGTGGCTCTTCCTAAGCCTTAGGAGTACCCTAATTAAGTTAATAACAATGTACCTACCTATATAGTTTAAGTTTAAAAAATTTGGCTCTCAAAAGGAATTTCAATCGTGTTGATATTTGGCTCTGTTGACTAATGAGTTTGCCGACCACTGTCCTAGTGTATCCAGGTTCCGTACCAAGAACACAGTGTCACAGGCTGGGAGAGCAACAGGGAACACGACACACCACCCCGTTCAGGTGGCGAGCCGATCCCAAGGAGGTGCAGGTACAAGCCCAAGGTCAGCAGCTGGGCACTGACAGGAGGGTGGGTCCCCCAGCCAAACCGCGCCTGAGGCAGGTTGTCCCTGAGACCATAATGAGGGGTGCAGTCATGCAGAGCTCAACAAACGTACCCGAAGCCAGAGAAAGGAGCTATACTTTACATTTAGTTTTCACATATATATTTTTATTTTTACAAAGAAAAAGAGATTAACTTTATAACAGCAGCCAGGGAAAGGGAAAAAAATCTAGAAAAGTGCCAAAGCAACACAAACTCTGAAGCACCCTTAACCGCGCCCCCCCCCCTTAGAAAGTAGTTTCTAATTATGTAACCTGTCTCCCTTTCCAGTTAAGAAGAAAAGTGATTCTGCTACAAGGCAGAAAGAACTTCTTGCTAAACCAGTTGTTAAAAATAAGACAACAGGCCCCACATGGAGCAACTTATGGGAAGCCCCATGTCACCAAAAGGAGACAATCACACCTGCAGCCTCTCCCGGAAATGGGAGGGTAAGCCAGTCAGTGAGGAGCAGCCTGGCCAGCGCTGTGAGGGCATCTGTCATCCCCCAGGAAAGCATCCGGGGCACAGCCGTCCAAGCTCTGCTAGAGGACTTCCTTGTTCCCGCCTCCTTCTGCCCAGAGCAGTCTCTCATTGGCACAGCCTTCGGAGCTCCCTTCTATGGACTGGATGGGATGCTGCCAGAGCCATGAATCACCGAATAAAGCCAATATCTTTAAAATGTACTCAGTCCAATTCTGTTTTTTAACACTTGAATTTCTTTGGTTCTTAAAAGTTTTCTGGAATGAAACTTCTTTTTCTCAGTGGCTGAACTGAAACTTGTACCTTATTTTGCAGTTTGAGAAGTCTTATCAGATTAAACAAATATATGACAAATGATGAAGTCTACAGGCAGATCCATGGGCATGACCATTTGGTGGAATAATCTAGCCAGTATTTGATCAAAAACATAGACGCGACATAGAGGACATGAAATCTATTATAGGAAAGTTAGTTAAACCCAAACTCCTCCTCTTAACAAACTGTCAAATAGTTTGTGTTAAAACACCCTTTTAAAAAGTTGAAGCTTGATAAAGTTGAAGCATTCATTGATAAGTAGTTGCAGGACTTGTGTGCTTTCTCAGGTGAGTTTCTGTTCCAGTTTGTACCTTATTTCCCAACTCATGGATCATGTTGAAATATTCACAGCTAAACATCTTTTCACTTTCCTGCTTCTTGCTAAGTGTGGATTAAGATCTCAGTAGTTGCTTTTCAAGCTATCACGTGTTAAGTAAAAACATTTAAACACGAGTTAAGTAAAAACATTGTGCACACGAGTTTAACCTGCTCCACAGCCTCTCCAATTCCAGCTGGGACTTGGAAAAAGTGTGCACAAGAAACACCATCTGCCCAGATTGTCAAAAACGTTGACGTGCACCTCCCAGGGTTTTTAAACTTCTCACATTCATCTGGAAAAGATAGATGCACTTAAGCTACATTTGCAAGAGCCATTTTTGACCAAGCTCACCACTCTTAAGTGGTTTTTTAAAGCATTGCCTTCCGTTTTTGATACTCCTGACCTCACCTGATTTCACCCACACAAATCAACTGAAAGGCTTACAACAAAGATCTTTGAATAAATTTAATAATTTGGTAAATAGATCCTCCCTTCTTTCTCCAGTTCCCAGAAAGATATCAATTTTTTTGGATTCCATTGTGCTGGGGTGAGGGACCGCGGCATGGAAGGGTTACAGAATGTTACAGAATGTGCTAAGGGGAGGAAATGAGACATGAGAAATTGAATGTGCTGGGAGGGGGGACTGACGTATGGAGAGGGATTGTGTCAGGATATGGAGAAGGATTGTATTAGGGTTAGGAACCATGGAAGAAAAATTGCTAGATTGTCTTAGACCAGTCAGGTGTGACTCTGTTTACCCCCCCTTTGTGCTTATGAACTTTCTGTGAGCTTCTAAGGTAACACTGTTTTGCTATAAAAATCATAATGCACACTTGCTCTTTGCCACATGCCGCGAGGCTTTCCAGAGGGGGAAGGTACGGGCTGTGGTCAGCTGGCCAGCTTAATAAACGGCTTTCAAATTTAAATTCTGAGTCGGTGGTCTATCTCGTTGAGCCAACCCATAACATTTGGAGGCCCGCAGCGAGATACCCGGCAGGGAGGAGAGGGACCCCTTATTTAGGGCTGGAGGCTCTCCCCCAGCAGGGGTGAGAGGGACCCCCTATTTAAGGCAGGAGGCTCTCCCCCGGCAGGGGTGAGAGGGACCCCTTGTTTAGGGCAGGAGGCTCTCCCGCGGAAGGAAGGAGAGGGACCCCCTATTCAAGGCAGGAGGCTCTCCCCCAGTTGTCGCCCGGCACTCAGCGAGATACCCCACACCTGTGGAGAACGATTACCAAGGAGGCCTCCAGTCCACCCAAAACTTTCAATTTGGAAACCAAGCCACCTGGACTCTCGAGAGAGGTAAGGGACCGGTCGTTAAACAGGAATTGGGACGTCCCACGGAAGGACCTATACGGAGGGCTGGACGCAGCGGTACTCCTGGTCCTGACCCACGGCCACGACGGTGGCCGGGGTCCCTGGTTCGTGCGGCTGTAGGCTGCACTGGGTTTGTCTGTCTGGTATTTGTTTGTCTTGGTATTTGTTGTTAAAAAGTTGTCTGCTTCTGTGTACACCCTGCTGCAATGTTTTTTGAAAATTTTCAGGACTTCAAGGAGCAAGCTGCAGGTTCCGGGCAACCTTAGGTTGCATTTGGCTGATTTATTTTGTCTTTGTTCTTTGTTGTCTTTGTCTTTGTCAAATGGGATAGGGTCAGTCATCTTTGTCGACCCCCTATCAGTCAGCCCACTCCGGGTGAGTGGAAGGGGAGCTTGATCCCCTCCCGGGAAGCTATAGAGCTCCCCTCAGGAATTAGGAATTTGTTCAGGAACTGGGTGGATTGTTTAACTCTGAGTGAATGTCTGGTGAAAGTGTGTGAGTGTGGAGGGAAGGGGGCCTGCCTCTCCTCTCCTTTATGTGGCTCCACGACTTCGGATACGGAGTCCGAGTGGGCCCCCAACCTGCGGTTCCGCGATTCGTCATATGGCATAACGGTGACTCACCCCACATGGAGGTGACCAGGCCCGGGGTTTATACGGGTGCACCTTAGCTACGACGAATCTAAGCTCCCAAGGGATGCGGCCAGGCGGGCATCTGAGTGAGGATCTGTGAAAACAGGTCACCCCCTCCCTTGTCTGTCTCTCGCCACCGATCATCATGGGGTCGGGGCAAAGTTTGTTTGTGTGGGACTAGCCAATTTACTACAGAGAAGGGAGACTGGATACAGCTCCAGCCTGGGCTGGTCTATTAAGAAAGTGTAAATCATTACTGGTCTGTGTGAAGTAAGAGCTACTTTGATTTATTCTGCTTTCTGTTGATACGCTTGGCTGAATGTTTGGGCTGGCCCCTTAGCAGTCTGCAAATAGTCTCTTGGCAGCTGAGAGAATTATTTTTCTCAGAGTCTTTTGCTCACTGTTAAGGAGAATTAGCCCACTTAGTTAATAAAGATTTGTCTACCAGCTGCTCTTACCTAGGTTGTAATTTACTGTATTAAACTGAAGTTCTAGGGTAGATTTAAAGGTTATAATGTTAATGCTTTTGATTTACAGCGATTCTGTGAATGGGAGTGGCCCACTTTCCAGGAGGGGTGGCCAGATGCAGGGTCTTTTGATCTGACCACTGCCTACCGGGTCCATTACATCATACACGGCCACCCAGGGCATCCTAATAAAATTCCTTATATTCAGGTTTGGGTTGACATATTGTCCAAGAAACCCCGGTAAATGAGGGCTTGCCTCCCGAGGGAAAATTGGGACAGAGACAGACAATTCTTTTGGCCTGGCCCCAGAAGGGAAAGGCTCCTCCGGTCCTTCAGGGAGAGAGGGGGAGAACTTGCAGGACCTTGCGACATCTGCCAGTCCTGCAGTTCCTATGTTGCCACTACGGCAGGCCAGCCCTCTAGATCTGGGGCTAGACAGGCAGCCCTCTGGGGAAGCAAGGCAGATTGAGACGCTATTCCCAGCTCCAGACCAGATTAGGGAGTAAATGATCAAAAAGGGGGGCTGGATGCCTGAGCTGCCTGCAGTGGCCCTGAAAAAGAAGCAGCAGCAGCAGCGAAAAAATAGAGAACAGCGGAAATTTACCTGACACTAGAGCTGCCTCGATGCTGCTGCCCAGTGAGAAATGAGTGTTTTACAACAAGCAGCACAAGACTTGGGCCTTTGGCTTGCAGGCTACAGCAGTTAAGCCAGAAGCCAGTAACTGTAGCCTACCTACAGCCCTAGAAATAAAGTAACAAGCCTAAGATCTATGAAAGCTGCAGATAGAGTTAGTACAAGCTCCCTGCTTGCAAATGTACTGAAAGGGTTTAGTACCTGTTGCTGCTGGAAGAGGAGGGGCTGATATCCCCTTCCAGTGCACTCCCTTCAAAGAGGCCTGGTCGCTGCTCTGCCATAAAGGGGACTGGTGGGAAGACAAGGAAAGCAGGGCCCTGTAACTAATAAACAGAGTTAAGAAAAGGGCACTCTTCCTGGACCTGGGAGCCATCAGGACTTTGAAATTCTCCAAGAGAGGAGAAGTCTGACTCAGAGACTAGCCAAAACCTCGTTGGGTTAGAAGGACCGGAGGCTGCATATTGAACCTATAGACTGAAATTTGCTAGGCAGAGGTCCAAGCCCAGTTGTATAGGGATTAAGCTACCTATGTACAGCAAAACAACTTTCTCCTGTGCCAGAATACATTTTAAGGAAATTGGACAAACTGTATTTGTGGCTAGAAAGAACTGGCCTATGTGTAAACTGTCCTGGAAAAAGGCTATGTGGAATGAACCCAAAAAGTAAAGGGTGTCTAGCTGCCGAGAGGGCAGTTGCCCAGGTGGGCAAAGAAGAATACCCATTAAATTTTGGTCTCTATTGAGAGACAGTTGACAGTTAGCAACCTGTATACTGTCTTACAGGCCTGTGTGACCATGCCCATGTCAGGGGTGGCACAAAACCTCAACTGTAGGAAACTGGGGAAGGCCTGTCTAGAACAGGGGGGTTAATAAAGTGGTGAATACTAGCCCTCTGTTACAGGAATTACAGACCCTGTTAGGTCCTGTGACATATAAGACCCTGTAGGGAAATAAAGCTCCTTTAGTCCATTCTGAAAGAACAAATAAAGACAGATTAAAGGCTGTGTTTCCCTCCAGGCAACCCAACTGGAACCCCTATAGTGACAGGGGAAAGGAGGCTCTCGATCGGTATCACCAGACTCTATTAGGGGGCATCTGAGCTGCTGCTTGGAGACCCACAAACCTCTCTAAGGTGACAGAGACAGTCCAGGGGCCTAACCCTGATGCCCTGGAAAGTCAAAGGGCTTTCAATGTTGCATTTGTTTCCAAGTCGGCCCCAAATATTAGGAAAAAAATTACAAAAGTTAGAAGACTTTGAGGGGAAATCAATCTCTAAATTGGTTGAGGTGGCCCAGAAGGTTTTTGACAATCTGAAGGACCCAATGGCAGGTTTAAACACCTGGATGGCCAAGGTCCTCCTGGCCCTAAACGAGGAAAATGGCCCAAGGGGCCGGAGAGACAACAAGGGCAAAGAAAAGCCTCGCGGAAGAAAAGGAGTCCAACCCAGGCTTGGGAAAAATCAATGTGCATTTTGCAGAAAGGAAGGACATTGGAAAAGGGAGTGCCCTGAACGTGCGAGGGAA